GGAGTCGTGTTCCCCAAAGTACATGTTGAAATCCTCACCCTTGGGCCTATGAATAGGGCCTTGTGTGGGAGACAGGGGCTTCCCTGTGTCATGTTCCCGAGGTCAGAACAGAGTAGGGTGGGTCCTAGACGTAAGCCCCATGAGTTATGAAAAGAGCAGAAGACACACACACACACACACACACACACACACACACACACACACACGCAAGAGGAGGGCAGATGATAGAGACACATGGGTCGACCAGCCCAGGAACGAAGAGGGTTGCCCCAGAAACTGGATGCTGAAATAGACAAGGCTGGGCCATCTCCTTGAGGCCAGCCCTGGGTCCAGACTTCCACCCTCCAGCACCGGGAGAAGCCGGAATCCTGCTTTGTGGAGCCCCTCTCTCTCTTTTTTTTATTTTTTATAGAGGCCCCCTCTTAAGGCATTTGTGTTGTAAGTGTTCCAGAGCCAAAGTGGTCTCAATAAAGCTCAGTTTACAAAAAGGAAGGGAGGACCGAGAACCTGGAAACACGCTCCCTGTCCATGGTGGGGAGACCGGCTCCTGCCTGGGAGGCAGCTGTCCTCGGAGAGGCGGGATGCAGGCAGAGGCGGGGCGGGAAATGGCTTCTATGAACAGGGCTGGGCCTTTAAACACGTGGCGAGGTGCCCTTGGGTCCACTTCAACTCATAGCGACCCCCTGTGACTGAGTAGAACTGCCCCCTGGGGTTTTCCATGCTGTGGTCTTTACGGGAGTAGAGAGTTTGTCAGGTCTTTCTCCCACAGAGCAGCTGGGTGGGGTTTGAACCGCCAACCTCTTCGTTTGCAGCCAAGTGCTTAATCACTGCACCCCTCGGGCTCCTTTTCAAGGCACATACCCCAACCAAACCCAAACCCCAAACCCGCTGGTGCCAAGTGGCTTCTGACTCACAGCAACCCCACAGAACAGAAGAGAGCAGCTTCGCTGGGATTCTGAGGCTGTAAATCTGTACAGGAGCGGCCACTTAGCTTTCTCCCTCGGAGCAGCTGGTGGTCGAGAACCACTGACTTTCAGCTGCAGCCCAGCGCTTACCTCACTGCCCACACGTTTGTGACGGGGTCTCCTGTGTGTGTGTGAATGTAGGTGGAAAGAAGTAGAGGCGATGCTCAGAGCATAAAGCAACAGGGGCCCTGGGGAAAGGGAGAAGGGAGCAGGTGGGGGTGAATCTTAGCTGCCAGGTCCCAGTTTTTTTAAACAGAGGGAGTATACCCAGGCGGGTAAAACAATGAAGGATCGGGCCACCGATGACACCCTACACAGGAAATGGAGTATCTGGGCATTGGACAACCCCAAACCTCATCTAACACACAGAAAGTGTTTCTATGGCCGGATTCCTGGCCCAGAGCTGGGAGCAACACTGTAGTAGAGGGACCCAAGATTATCAATGGCGGGGGCAGATGGGGGTTGGTAGTGCCACTCACCAACAGGCTTCCCTGTGTTGATGTCATTGATGAAGCCAGGGATCTGGTTCTCACACAGGATCTGATAATCCGCTGGACAAAGGAAAAAGGATATGTGTGTGAAACGGGGATGGGAAGGATGGATGGATGAATGCGTGGAAGATGAATGACAGATGGATGCATGGGGAGAGGGTAGATAAATAAGAGGATGGATGAATGAGTGCATAGAAGGAAGGAGAATGGATGTATAGAAGGAAGGAGAATGGCACATGGGCATTTATGGGTGAATAGATGTTGGGTGGATGAATGGATGTAAGCATGAATGGGTAAATGGATGGATGGAGGCATGC